GTCTCCTATGCTGCAATCATGCTTTTGAAAATCCATGTTGCACCCCACAATGCTGTACAATAATTATATATAAGAAATTATAAAATAAAATAAGAAAAAAAAAAGCCTTACCTAGAACTCACATTTTTCCATAATCTGGTTTCACCCTACTTTTCTAGCTTTGATGTCTACCCTTGCTCAGTCTGAGTATACTACCCTTGATTGGTTGGTCTTCTTGTTCTTGAGAATGTTGTGTGCATTTTATTATATCTCCCCTGTGGCTTCCAGTATTCCTCTATCTTAATCCATTTGTTTCCAAGGTCTACCCTATCTATAAATCCTAGAGTGAGATTGCCTTTGAACTTTTCAACCTCTATTGGTGAAACATGGGATAAGACTACTGAAAGCACTTTAGTTCACTAATAGAGGATTCCAGGTGGAAACATTAATTAGGCTAATAATTTTGTCAATGGAAAGCAATGAAGATAAGTTATGTAATTTTTTTCTTCCAGGAAAGAATTTTAAGTTATAAAACTGAAGATTTTTATAGTGTGACATATTAACAAGTGAGAATTATAATTCATTTATTAGCAAACACTTATTGAGGGGCTGGCAAGTGGTGTGGTGGTTAAGGGTGCTGGATCCCACGTGGCCGACAATGGTTCGAGTCCCGGACCTGGCGGCTTGCCTTCTCACTTTCTCTCTCTGTCCCTCTTTGGTCCAATTAAAAATAAACAATAAATAAATAAGTAAAGTTAAATAAAATAATTCTTTATAAAACACAAACACTTATTGGGGCCAGCATGTGGCATAGTGGTTAAGGATCCTGGACTCCTGCATGGCCGACTGTGGTTTGAGTCCTGGAAATGGTAGCTTGCTTTCTCACTTTCTCCCTCTGTTTCTCTCTCTCTCTCTCACTCTGTCCCCCTTTGGTCAAATTAAAAAATAATAATAAATAAAGTTAAATAAAATAACTCTTTAAAATGAAAAAAAAAAGTAAAAAAAACCAAACACTTATTTAGATATAATAATACTTGATAATACTTATTCAGGTAGTTACTGTTTGGTAGCCACTGTTTTAAGTTCTTTACACACTTACATCCTACTTGATATACTAAATGTTTTATCTCATTTAGTCTTCCGAACAACCCTATAATACTTAAACATCATTATTATCTCTGTTTTGCAGAGGAGGAAGCTGTGGGCCATGAATGCTTAGGTGACTGGGTTTTGATCATAGAGCTGGAGAGTGTTGTAACTTAATAGAATTCTAACCTGGGCTGTGTGGCCCTAGAGTTTTGTCTTAAATTGTGAATACTAGGTTCTAAGCATTGGGAGTTAAACAGAAACAAATGACTAGACTCTCAAGGTGCTTACAGTCTCATGATAAAGAGTAGTTAAAAAAAATAGCTACACCAGTATCATTAGTGTTGTAATAGAGAGGGGTGTGTGCTCAGAATTTTAATAGCCCAAAAGAGGGCTTGATTTCTTTTGCCACAACAGAATCATTCTTTTGCCATGGCTCCTTATAAACTGGATGAAATCATATAAACCCTTTGAGGATAGGATATGGCTTTGGTTTTGTATCACAGCACCTACCTGACACATGGAAGGTGATCATTAATGATGAATAAATTAGTCCTTTATTTCTTATTGTCTAGGATGGTAGCCACTGGTCACCTTGGGCTACCGAGCACTAAAAATGTGGCTTGTCAGATTGAGATGTGTTGTGAGTGCAAAATACTAGATTTTAGCAACTAAAAACAAGAATACTTTTTTTTTAAAAAAGAATTGCTTCATTTAATTAATTAATTAAATTAATTTGACCAGAGAGAGAGAAAGTGAGAAAGCAAGCCACCAGGTCTGTGACTCGAACCATGATCAACCATGTGGGAGTTCAGTGCCTCCTTAACCACCATCTACCAGCCCCAAAACAAAAATACTCTTTTTTTTTTAAAGAGAGGTTTTTTTTTTTTTTTTTTTTTTTTTTTCTATAGGGTGTATATGCTTGCCAGGGAAGGGGATGACAGGGGGAGGGAGTGAGAAATCACCCCCCAGGAGGGATGAGCATGCCACTGTAATCCCTTCTCTATTCTCCTCTCAGGACTTTGGGCATGCACACACAGGTGCCCAGCATCATTTGCAAGCCACTGGGTCTGAGACTTAAAATGTGGAGTCAGCCATGTGAGATCCAGTGCCTTCACCTCCATGCTACCTACTGGCTTCTTGGTTTTTTTTTTTTTCTTTTTAAAATATGGCTATTAAAAATATAAAATTACATGAGTATCTTATATTTCTGTTGGACAGTACTGATTTCATTCAGTTCCCTCAAACTCTCTCAACTACCTCAAAGAGGAAGAGATTTGACCAAGTTCACAAAGTAGTAAAGACATTTTTAAAACTGAGAATTTAGAAGAGACAGTTCCTGGGATGGGAGAATATATTTGCCAAGTATGCCTCAGATAAGGAACTGATAACCAGAGTGTACAGGAAACTCAAGCAGGTTAACCAGCACTCCCTCCCCCCAAAAATATTAATCCAATTAAGGAGATGAGCAAATGAGCTAAACAGACAACTCTCCAAGGAAGACATACGAACAGCCAAAAACATATGAGAAAATGCTCAACATCCCTTTTCATAAGGTAGATGCAAATCAAAACTACAATGAGATACCACCTAACCCCAGTCAGAATGGCTAAGATTAAAAAAAAAAAAAAGGTAAGTGCTGATAGGCTGTGGTTAAAAGGGAACTCTCTTAAATTGTTCGTGGGAATGTAAATTAGTACAGCTACTGTGTAGAACAATATGGAGGTTCTTGAAGAAACTACAACTACCATACAATCCAACAGTCCCCTCCTGAGTAGCTACGTGAAGGATAGGAATACACCCATCTGGAAAAGCACTTGCACATCCACGTTTATTGCAGTATTGTTCACAATTGCTAAGACTTGGAATCAACCCAAATGTCTGAAAAAAGATGAAAAAGTGTGGCACATATACACTATGGAATACCACTCAGCCATGGAAAACCATGAGGCCCTGGCATTTGGTCGAAAATGGACAAACAGAAGATTTAAGGCTTAGTGAGGCAAGCAAGACTGTGAAAAAGAGGCATTGTATGTCCTCTCTTAATATATACTGACTGTCTGCACTCTACAGCAGAACTGAAAGACTGGGAGAGAGAGAGAAAAGCATGGAGAGCAAATGTGGGTGCAGAAAACAGTGCAGGAGGAGGGTTGGCAAAGGGGGACAGGCAGGAAGAAATCAAAGGGAAAAAAAGCAAAACATTTAATGGGCACAAAAATGGAAGGTTGTCTGTTGATGTGTTTAGTAATATCTTTGACTAGACTAATATGTAGTATTCATGGTGAGGAACAAAACAATTTATATGTTAGATTCTTTTACTTTAGTTCTCTTTCTAGGCATAAATAAAATTAGTACAGTATGAACTTAAGAATTTTGAGGCAAACTGGCATCACTTTGTTCTTAGTAGGGGTTACATGACCTCTTTATTTTATTCCATCATTGAGCTTTGTAATAAAATTTTTTCTATTTGTATGCTAATTTGATCTCCAGAAAATCTGCACATTTATTCCTCAGCTTTTTCACACTTGGCACCTCTATTCCCACTTCTACCTTGAACACCTCTTTTCACACACACACACATACCCACATGGCCTCCTATTTAATTTCTTAATTTGTTTCCATTAACATTCTTTAAATTTTGTTAACACCTTTATTTTTATTTTGGGAAGATCAGCTGTTACATGATGTGCTATAGTATAGTAGGTAGCTGGTTGTCTCATGGTATTATACACGCATCAGTTATCTCACATAATCCTCTTAAAAATCACATGGCGTATAGGTCCTATTATGCTGATTTTAGAGTTATGGAATCTCAGATTTACGAGCATATTATGCTCAAGGTCCTACATCTGACAGTACACAGAATCTGTAAGTTGGAATGTAAATTCTCAGCAGTGAGCCTGGGAATTTTTGCTATACGCAGCCTGTAATTTTGGAGAACTGTGGGTTCAAGGAGTGAAGGTTAACCTACTGGTATATGTGCCCCCCCCCCAAAAAAAAGTACAAAAATTCATTCCATAATTTGTGTGTGTGTATGTGCACATGCATGCATACATGAGTGTGCAAGAGAAAGGTGGGGGGATAGAAAAGCACAGAGAGAGAGAGAGGGAAATAAAAGTGATTAATTTTGAAGACTGAGCCCCCATGTCTTTGTCTTTTTTTCCCTGTTCTCTTTCCTGACTTTATTTTTTATTTCTGACAGTGGTATACTCACCACGCTATTATTTTCTTCACTTAAACTCAGTTCCATTCACATTTTATATCTAAGTCTGAACAGATGTTCAACATATTTACAGTGGTTCTGTTTGGTTAGAGGGTCTTAGGTGATGATGAGTTTTTTTTTTTAACTCTTCATATTCGAGGGTTTCTTTTTTGAATGAACAAATACTAAGAAAAACTATATGAAAGGACAAAAGCTATAAAAAGAACAGCAAAGTTATTTTCATTTGAGAAATAAATGAGTATGGTTGATGCTTCTCATTGCAGAAATAAACATTTCACCCTAAAATTTCAGAATCCCTTAATTTTCTCTCTGCTGTTACAGTGTTCTTTGGCCTCAATTTCATAGCTCCCAAGACACTGCTTTTTAAATGTCATTTATCTGTCAGAGAGGTAAACTTTCTTTTAGAGCTAGCATTTATTTATTTAGCAAAAATGTCATTTAGTTTTCTTTGGGAGATAATAGTTTATAGTGGTCAATATCCTGCAAATGTTATTAATTTTAAAAAATCTAAATATCTACCTGCTGTGTTTGGGCACAATGGGAATTACAAAGGACATTGGATCTTACCAACCCCTATCTGATAAATTTTCTTTCCAAATTTTCTAGCAGATGGTTGACAAGGGGTGAATTTATTTGCTGTGTCAGAACCTTTGAAACCATATTTTTCAGTTTGCTTTTCACTATTTAGTGACGTGGTTTATGTTCTTTTAAGATGCTAGTGATCAAAGAGAAGATGTTTATATTGGAAACCATATGCCTTGCCCTGAGAACCTCAATGGTTACTGCATCCATGGAAAATGTGAATTCATCTATTCTTCTCAGAAGGCTTCTTGTAGGTAAGTTAGTACCTCCACTGGCGTGGTCAGAGAGCTTTTCTATCAGTGGTCTCTGCTCTGTAGAAGGCAATAAGATGTGGACTAAATAATACCCTAGAGTAACTCGTGCTTATAGTGGACAAGTAAAGAATAAATGATCATTGGGGAAAAAAAAACCAAACCCAAAACTGGCAAGTAATATGCAAAAACAAAAACAGGTATTTTATTAGTGTTTTGAGATTATGGGCTTAACAGTTTAAATATAATGTTACATATTTTTAATATAAAAATAAATGTCATTTTCCAACACTGTTTTGCCTTTTAGGCAATCTGTCACAAGGTGGTTGAGGGCTAAAAATGTATTAAGAACAGAGAACATGTGTAATTCCAATAAAATACATGCAGAAATAGATTACTAAAAATAAGGAGGTAGGGGAAGAACCAGGTGTGAGTTGAGAGATGGAAATGGAAAGGAAAGAGTAAACTCTCAACTCCTGATTCCAGAGAAGTGATGTGACTTGTTCAAGGTCAGCAGCAAGTTAGAACTAGAACTGAGACAAAAGGAGGTCTCATTCCTGATACTCAGCCTGCTGGCCTTGGTCCTTTGTCTACTGATGTCACTTCTTGCCGCTGCTGCTAGGCGATCATCCTCTACATGTAGTTTGTGCAGTTAGTGAGGCGATGTTTCTATAGACGCTTGCTGTCATTCTGCTCACTCCTGCCTCCTGGAGGGAATTTGGCTAGAATTCTTTTTTTCTCTTTTCTTAATCAAAACAGAGAGAAATATACTTTTGTCTTGTCAGCCTAGAAGCTGGATCTTTCTTTTCAAGAAGTAAGAGAAAAACTTTTGAAAACCAGGTCTCTGGTTCCCTCTACTTTCTTAGCTTCCTTCTGACTGTCTTTTCCTCCTTCCTTCTGCTTTAAAAAAACAAGACTATAAACTATTATAGTTGAATAGATTTTCCTTAAGCCTTTGTCTCTTTCCTGTTTGAAAATTCTCCTTGTCTTTGAAGGATCTATCCCTTGCCCCCTATCTTTTCCCCCCTGGACTTTTCGAATATATAACCAGGGATCAGCAGATGGTATAATAGTTACATCACTGGACTCTCACGTAGTCGACTGCAATTTGAGTCCCGGACCTGGCAGTTTAAAACTCATGCCTGGTGCGTGTCCATGCGTGCCCAAAATCCCGAGAAGAGGAGGGATTGTGATGTGGCCACCTCCCTGGAGGGTGATTTCTTGCTTTTTGTCTCTCTGTCTCTCAGTGAGCACATGCACCCTATAGTAAAAAAAATCTCTCTTAAAATGATAATAAGATAAAATATATAACTATATGAAAGAGTAAAGTCAAATCAATACAATGGATCAGTATCTCCTGGTTGTCCCATAGTGGCATGGAATTTCGGGTCCCATCATCCTGTTATACAAATCTTTAAGGATACTTTCTAAATGAAGGGTGACAGAGGAGGATGTCCTGATAATGATGTGCTATCGGGTCACTTTGTGGTATTTTACTGATTGACAGAGGATTGACTAGCATACTGGTTAAAAGCTTTAGAATCAGATACACTGACTTAGCTAGTTATTGACTGTGTGTTCTTTGGAAGTTCTTAAAATATCTTAAGCCTCATTTTCCACCATTCTAAAATTGTAACAATATGGTATCTATCTCATAGTGTTGTTGAAATGAGATAATATATGCAAGGTGCTTAGCACAATGCCTGTATGCCATGTGTTTTTAATAAATAACAATTGATGGTATAAGACTGTAAGCCCATTGCATCAGGTACTCTGTTTTCCTAACCACTGTCTCCTTAATACCTAGTGCAGGACCTGACCCAGTAGGAACTCAGGGAATATTTTTTTGAATGATGTGTGATAATCAATTTTTCTCTCTTATTCAGAGGAGAAGTGCTTCTTAAGTGCTAAAGATTATTTTCTGTATACTTATATAACTCTTAAAAGGCAGTAGATCTTTTTCTCTTTTGTCTGAGTATTTAAAATGGGTGCAAAGATCAGGCTGTAATATTATGTGTATTTCCATTAATCGGTGGATACATCTGGATAGCAGTATAGAGGTAGGGATGAGCAGCTGTTAGCCACAGTCCATTTTTCATCTTTTTTTGTGTGTGTCACAGGTTATGTATATGTGCATGAGAGAGAGAGAGAGAGAGAGAGAGAGAGAGAGAAAGCATTCTCCAGTGGGGCCTGGTTATATTGCAGTTATTTTTTTCCAATTGTCCATCTTGGGCATGCATATGTGCATTTGGTGTAAAGCTGATGAGGCTGGGATTTGAACCCTGGTTCACCACATGGGATCAGTTTTTTCTGCATAGCCCCTAACTGCTGTGTCGTGGGGCTGTCTCAGTAGTCCAATTTTTAAGTTAAAATTTTCTGGCATTTTCCCACTATTGATTTATTTGTTTATGTATTTATTGCTTACTTTGTAGCAAATCGTGCCTGGCACTAGATGTCAAATTTGAGTATGATAGGAATCCAGAGATCCTTTGGAATAATCAATTCTGGTTGAAGATACTAACGATACAAAATTAAAATATATGAAAAATGCTGTTATACGTAGGTATGCATGAGATGATTTGGGATTTCAGAAAATACACTTAAATTAGGGTGGTAGAGGAGGGGCCAGGTCATACAGAAACATTTATGCTATCTCAGGAGCTTGGCCTCTATTTTAAAGACTATGATAAGCCTTTATAGGATTTTAAGTAGCAGATCTATGCTCAGTTTGGAAGTCACTTTGGCGACCTTATGGAAAAATAGATGGGAAGACCCAAAGTTAGGAAACTGTGTATTAGACATAGGGAAGAGTCACTGTGGGGCCGAGGTAAGTAAATGGACTGCAGAGAGATAATAAGATGGTTGAATTCACAGGGATTGGGTATGAGACTGTGAGGGTTGCTGGAGGTTAGTGAGATGCAAAGTCAAGGAAGTCTCCTGGGTTTCTGGCTAAGGCAGAATCAAGTGGGAAATACATTGAGAAGACGGAAAAGGTTTGGGGAGGAATGATATACTCAGTTTAATGTGATTCGTCCAAGGTGCCTATGTGTATCCATTTCTGGGTGTCTAGCAGGCTGCTGAATATATTTTGGTTTAAGAACTCATGAGAGGAGATTGGCAGTGGGCCAGCAATAAAATGCATCTCTTGTGAGGCCAATGACCCATA